ACGAGATAAGTTTCTAAAAACATTATACCATAGAGGACGAGAGTATGAGTTAATTATACAAAATAAGGGTAGAACAAATACATACAAAATAATAAAATAAATTATAAAATGTTAGTACTTTTTCTTTCTCAAACATAGTAATACAAATTGCGCTGAGTTATTTGTGTAACTTTATATTTTATTAAAATGCACTAGGTAAATCTCAACAATTTTGCTAAACTATCAAATAACACTGTTATAAAGAAATTATAAAATCAATGTTTAACATTAATTGTTATAATTCATTTAAAAAATAATCTTTAATAAGAACTGAACATCTGCAAATTGAAATAAACAAACAAAAAAATTTAAAAGGCACAACCAATCAATCTTGAGAAAGAAAAAAAATTATTAAAAAAAAATTATAACTATAAAGGTATTTATCAATCAAGCACAGCCTATTCCAAGGGCAAGGGGCAGTGTCACCAGCCGTTTTTTTTTATGTAATATAATTATTTAATAAATTACTTAATTCTAATTTTTATAAATACTATACATAGAATTTCATTGATTCACGCTAACTTACAATTTATTTAAAATTAAAATTTAATATCACAGATATGTTTGCAGATCATTTTCATTAAAACAAAATACTGCAATATATTATTATAAACTAAAAATTAAATAATTATTGTAATCAAAAGAACATTTTTCAATTTAAAGAATTAAAGTTTATGTCAAAATTATACTAAAAAGACAGTCATATCATTAACAGTTTTGTTAAGTGCACGTCGTAGGAGCTACACCATAGGTGTTAACTCTCATTTCTTCAATTGCTTTACACCATTCCAACGCAAATCCTTCAGGATCTTCTAGGTAATAAGTCCTGTTGGGCTGCAAAGGAAAATTCAAATAATCAAAATTAAATGTCAAAAAAGTTTAAATAAATAATTAGGTAAAACATATTAAATTAGGTAATACATTAAATATAATTTAAAAATAAAATAGAAATTGTAGTTACCGTGTGAACGAAAAATATCCTGAAATTTTTAGGTTCCACACGCAATTGTGGACTCCAAGGTATTTCTCCTTTTAAAGTCATAGATGCTGGATCAGCATAATACAAATGAGGACCCATTGTTAACATCAGCATACGTCTTCTGGCAAAAAGACCCTAAAAATGAAAAATAAATAAATTAAGACCATACAAATTATAGAAGGCATTCATATTRTAATATGCTGAACAACAAAACTCACTTTTCGCTTGTCAACCAATCCTTGTTTGACAATCAGATTGCCCTCTACTAAACCATGCCATTTACTGTTACATTTTTGCTGGTTTAGTTGGTGTTGCTTCTCTTCGTCATTCATATGAAGAATGCCGGACCGTTTACGCGGTCTAGGTACAGATGCTGGGGTAGTCGTTGAACTGCTTTGGCCATCCAGACCCAGTAACCTGGTGAGTTGTTTGTCGTCTAGCCCCGGTTCCAAATGATCAGGAACTCGATATTGGCTACGAAGCTCTTGGCCTTCACTATTTCCAGGTAGGTAAGGGTATATAGGTGGTGGATTTGTTAAGTGCAACGTGTCAAAATCCAAGCCACTGTAGAACGGATGTGAGCGAATTGAAATGTATCGTTGGTCATCCTTGGTGCCCAGGCGTTCGTTTGGATCAAGCACTAACAATTTCTGTACCAAATCTTTGGCATCAGCGTTGAATCCGTCTGGATACACATAGTCGAGGTTCAGAATTTTTTTGAACAACATGTATTCACTCCTGCAAAAAGGAAATTTGAATAGTTCATAATACCTTATAATATGATAAACACGTTCGTTATAGTATAGAAGTATATCATTCGCACCGGCACCACCAAACATAGTGATGAATACCGAATATTATATTACAATGTAAGTACGTACCTCGATCGAAAAGGAGGTAAACCGGCAATCATTTGATAGATAATGCAACCGAGGGCCCAAAGATCAGAACTTGGCGAAATCGTCTTCTCGGTCAACAATTCGGGACTRACGTATTGGGCAGTTCCGACGAAACTGTTACTCCGCTGCCGGGGATTGTTTTCGTTCAAAATAGATTTGTCCACAGCATCGGGCTGTTCGAGTATTTTCGAACACCCAAAATCAGCCACCTTGATGTGCATATTGTGATCAAGTAATATGTTTTCCGGCTTCAAGTCCCTATGCATAATGTTTAGGTCGTGTARATGCTCCAGGGCGCGAAGGATTTCACCTGAGTAAAATCGCGTGCAAGCCGCGTCGAACGAGCCCACTTTGTTTATGTAAGGTAGCAAGTCACCGTTTTTTGCATAAGACATAACAAAATCTACGAGTAAGCGTTAAGGAAAACACCACAAAAGTGAGCAACCAAATGTAAGAGATATACAACGTATAATATAGAATTTTTGTACAAATTATAATATTCAAAAGTCAGTTTGAAAAGGATACAGAGTCGTTCGGCGTCTTGGAACGTGCAGTAGAGCTTAACGAAAAAACTGGATCCGGAGTTGCTGAGAATATTAAGAGCGTCCTTTTCTCGACGTACTTGTTCGCGTTTCTTTTCTCTGATGATTTGTTGTTTTTCGCAGACTTTAACTGTAAAATTAAGACATAATTTATCGTCAGTAAAATGATCACCGGTATTATAATATAATTTATCATGTACAATTAATTATTATAGTAGAGAACGCGGAATACGTATCGTCATTAAGGGTGCAAAGATGGGCGATACCAAGCGACAACGAATTAACATAATTTTCAGAAAGGGGGAGGGGGGTCCCTTCTCCTACAACGAAAAGTGCTCGTCAGTTACATTTTGTGTACAACAATAGCGTTGTATACAGAAGAGAGCGATAAAAAAAAATCGACTGAAATTAACACCGGTACTAATTAAGCAAAGAAGTCATATAAATATTAATGGCCGTCTAATATGCGTGCGTTTTATCGTAAACGTCTGTTGTTCAAGGGTAATAACACCCGTGCCCGAAACGAMCACTGTGCACCGACATCGCCGAAGGTTGACACGTGGAAGACAAATCCTTGTAGTTTTATATTGGACCATAAAAAAATATGCACATGCGACAATAACGGTATTTTAAGGTCGCGAATTTTATTTCGATAAAATGCAGTAAATGAACACGCACAACAACGAAACTCATAAATGTGTGGCACTCCACCATTACTGATTCCATCTCACACACTGGTGGCAACATTATACAGATAAAATAAGTCACTCTATTTTCCCCATTGGAACATTTATTGAATATAACCATAATTATAACCGCAATAGTGGTAGTAATGGTAATAGTGGTACACAATGTTAAATTTGTACAAATATATGAATCAATAACTCATCAAATAGACACTCACTTGCATGTTCGCGATTTGTATGAATGTCTTTGGCCAAATACACCTGGAAAAATAAAAAACAACAGCATTTAATGTATGTACGAGTTATGAACGATATAGTATTTAGTGTTTTGTGTGTGTGTGTGTATATGATGATGATGATAACACGTCGGTCACTGAACCGGTCTAAAAACAGTCGTAGCCAAGGTCAATGAGTATACACCAAGCGTGTTACAACGTATATTATACCTATAGGTAAAACACTGTTACGATACCAAAGTCAAAGGTCTTTTTGAGGACACGCAGGTCGGTAACACGACGACAGTGACAATGTTTTCAAACGCAAGAAATGTTTTTTTTTTTCGATAGAATAACGCGTGTACGGCCACGTAAGGTCCACACACGCGAAATGAGTGGCGCGTGTCGATGATAATGGGTTTGGCGAACCGGCGGAAAGGTCGACAACGATGTAAAAAATCCGCATAAAAATAGATCKTTCAAGTAATTATGTTGGCGGAGGTAGGTTAGACCGTATGACGATAAGGAATTTTGCATTCGTAGGTGTTGTTTGTGGAGAGAATATAATAATAAACAAATTACCTACTTGAAAAACTTGTGGTTGTCAAGGTGCGCTGTTGGCAAGTGTATACTAGTATGTAATATTATATGTTTGTAATTTTTGTAGAGACAAGTGTATAATGTCATGTCAGAAATTTTATGGAGGCAATACACGTTATCATTGYTAATCCGATAAATAATGTTGGAGGAGAATCGTGATATCATCCGTGTCGAGTTATATGTATACGTATAACATATATTAGAATAGATTATAGTATTATATTACAGTAGTGAACAGTTGATGATATGTTTTTAATACTTACAGTCGAGTAACTGCCCTCGCCAATGACCTTTCCGAAAATGTAATCTTTTGGATTGCGTTTCGTCACTGGTGGTATCATGTTGGCGATCTTGTCGGCGGTCAAAGACTGACCACCACCATTGACTTGCACCACCGGGGACGTCTGGGATGTCTGAGTGGACGGTGGCGGTGGTGTGGCCGTCTGCATAGTTGGAGGTGGCGTCATGACGACAATTTGCTGCTGTGATTGGTGGTGGAACGCAGCAGTGGAGGACGATTTAGCTGCTGCTATCTGTAGAGAATAGAAGACGATATAATACTATATTATACAAGCAAAACTGAAATAATATAAATAATAATAATAAAAAAAARATTGTGAATTGCGACATGTACTAAAATCGAACACCCGTCGTTGTGATCTCTACCCGACATACACACACTTAAACTTTAAAAAAAACATTACACCGACGGCGGCAGTAGTAATTGCGGAGGCCTCTGACGTCATTTGGCAAGTCACCCAACGTCAGAGGGACTCTCCTCCCGCCCGGCGGCGGCGGCGACGGCGACGACGACTGAAATACTAAACGGAATTTAAAAAAGAAAGAAAGACATAACTGTAAAATTTGCGAAAAAAATCATAATGTCGTTGTTTTAACAAATATATTTGTTTAACGCGTTCTATATAAACAGCGTAATACGATATTAAAAATAATTTCATAATAAGACTATGTTTCAGCAGCAACAGCTTCATGGGCGTTATGTAAACAGTACATTCT